AATGTGATAAAAAGATAAAACACTTTAATTGATACTACGACAAACCTTACAAACATCATGAGGCAAGCTCATTTACTGCTTTGTGATTTAATACAGAGGCACCTGTTTTCTCACTAAGCTCTCTGGGCTCTTTCTGAGCCATCTCTTTCAGAACAAAATTCAAAAGCACAAAACCTAGAAGTTGTTTTCCTCATTCTGTCACTCCAGGTCAAGTATGAGTGTGTTTGAATAGGGAAGGAATGTTACTTTTTATAAAGAGTGTTGATTCCATCAGTTGGCCACCAACAAAAGGATATACAATTACTGCACTCCTATTTACAAATTTCCTTTTGGAAAGGAGTTTATAACTTCATTCCTTAAAACTACTTTTGACCCAAACTTGTCATGCAAGTCTGTGGTCTGGGAGAAAAATGATTTTGCAACATTAGAACTAATGCATGCAGGCATTTCTGCTTGTTTAGAGGTGACAATAACAAATAGCAGAAAAACACATGCAAAGCTGGAACTGCTTTTGCAATGCTCACCTCGCTTGCATTCCACTTGGATTTGATGGCAGGTTGTAACCCATCATGCCCTTCTTTTTTTCCTGTGTGTATTACCACCTAAGATCTTTGAGCTCTTTGGAATATAGTACCTAACACACTGTTAGCAAGATACAAATAATAAAAAATATATAAAGTTTAAAGATAGAAATAACAAAAAGCAGTACTCCCAGACAACCCCTTCCCATACTCAGTGCTTCAGGAAAGTCAGTCTGTGGGAGAAAATCACTGCAGACTTCTCCACAAGGAGACAAGCTGTGTACCAAACCCATCAGCCCAAAGAGGAGAAGCTTTCTATCTCTTTCTTTTTTCTTCTTTATTACCTGGTAGAACAGGATGCAGAGCTTAGCTCTGTAATAATGAGGACCTAATATAACCTTCCATCTGGCCACTAACGGTGGTGCATCTTTCAGCGAGCCTGTGATACTGATGACTCATGTGTCTTGGTGCAAGAGCCTGGAGAGAGGCAGCGGGGAGGGAGGGGTGGAGGGGTGGAACAAACCACAAAACACAGATATCTTGATTTATTTAAAACCTTCTGCAAGAAAAAGCTTTCAGAGGGAAAGTCGGAAGGTGACAGCCTGGCCTGACTCAGCCTCATCTGCCTCCTTCCACTCAGCACTGAGCAGAGCATGTTCAGGGACCGCAGCAGGTGGCTGTAGTCCAAGTGGGTGTCAAGAGACTGATTTCAGACTTTTTGATCTGCTCTTGGACAGAAAGGGATACAGCGGCCCACTTCTGGAGGGGAATGGAGAAAACCTGGTGGTGCCACAGGCAAATGCGATTCCTGAAATGCACATGTATCCCAGCACAGACCTGCCACCCATCCAGGACAGCAGCCAGCAGTCAAAGCAGCCTTTGAAAGGCTGTTCTTCCCATGAACTCACACCCATCCCCAACGCCCTTTTTTATACACATGTATGTATACATATACACATGCCTTGAGATAAACATTTGGCTCATCCCCCCATTTGCTCTCCTGTTCTTTTGTATATACAAAAATAAGATAAACTGATAAACTATAATGACATGTACTGGGCACTTTTATATATTAACTGATGCATCCCATGAGCAATGGCCTTGAAGCTGCTTGGCTGTACCATACCTTCTGCAGTAATCAGTTTGTAAGTGCAAACTGTTCTGAATCTCATTACTTATTACTCTTCTAATGTCTGCCTTACTGTATATTGAGTATATTTCATTTAAGAGAGCTAAAAATGACAACTGCTTCTCACAGTGCATGTGTATATTCCCCTGGTTTGCACATAGCTATGGTACTTCGGCAAGTTGTCCTTTTGCTCACGTCTGGCTTGGAGATAAGCCACTTATAAAATATTTGACATCATAAAGATGTCTTTTACATTAGACTGATGTCATTTGTCATTATCTATGACAGGTATCAGAATCACTTTACCCAAGCAGATGAAAGGCTAGCTGAACTCAGTATCCAATCCAGAGTACTTAAAACAATCCAGTTCTTCAAAAGAAAACGTAGCTCCTAATAACAAACCTAATTGTTTTATGTAGTACCACTAATGGAAAGTTTTTCCAATTCAGCAGCTGATGTACAAAATCTGAGCATTAAGACTCTGCAATCCCATCTTTGCTTACTGCAATGTCAGGAGCGAGCATTTACATAATTGCCTGACCACCCTACCTTTAGGCCAAGCCGTTTTGCACAGCAGCCAACAGCAAAGTCCCATCGCTTGTCCTTTTTGCACAAGAAATATCTCCCTGCTTTTCACTGTTCCCCCAACCACCCCACCCCCCCGCCAAATCACAAGATCGCCTTCCTGATCCCAAAAGCCTCAATCCTCTCCCATGACCTTCCAAAAGGGGAACTCTAAAGCAGCACCCAGGTGGGTGGTGGCAGTGCCTCTTCTGTCCCTGTGACTCTCACCAGGTTTTGCTGTGGCAGAATTGGGATTACCCAGGGTGCTGCCAGGCCCCCACACGAGAGCCATGTGCAGCTCAGCAGTTGTGGGTGAGTCACTCATGCAAGGAAACCCCTCATCCTACCTCCTGTTTACCCAAAGTTTTACTCAGAAGGAAATGCTAACTTTTGCTGCCAAATAGTTCTTAGCTGCTCTTTCACCGGAACTTTTCTTGCCTTTATTTAGGATGCAAAGGGAATGGATGCAATATTCATTGCGATACTGCACTAATGTAACACTATTTTTCTGATGTTACTCATAGTTTAAAAGAGCACATTGTCTATTCTGCAGCATTTAAACAGTATTGTCTAGATCTGTACCAGGAGCAGTTTCCGGGAGTTCAAAAGGAGCCCTGCTGCAACAGCGCTAGCTGCTTTCCTCCGAGATTTAACCTGCGCTCCTGAGCAGAGGTTGTACTGTGGCTTTCAGCCGGCTGAGCACAAGGCGGAAGGGAACCACGCAGCAGAACAGGTTCTCCCTCTCGCCCTCGCCTTCAGGAGGGCAAAACTTTACCACCCAGCATACAGCATCGCATCTTTTGCTTTGCATTAGTCAGACTACAGCAAGACTGGCAAGCTGACATATTAGGAAACCAGGGTAATCCCTCTCCTTCCTGATTTTTTTCCTGGCCTCTTCCCAAGGGGGGAGGGGAAAAGGACTTAAAAAATATTGAAAAGAACAAGCATCACCAAGCTAAAAATCATGCAGCCTTACAAAGTTCTTTGCCCTAGAAGGAAAAATCTTCTAAAATATGTATTTTTAAACATACCTCTAAGCTGAGTGTTTTAACTATAAAAACATCTGCCAACTTGTACCTTGTCTGGAGTGCTCACACTTTACTACAATGGTCTAGTTGGACTGAAAAAAAATTGCTAGGCAGTACCTGAATTTAAGCAAAAATATCCTAAAAGCTGAGATTAAAAAATATTATCTTTCATTTATTGAAAGAAAAATAAAACACCTAACAAGCCCAAAATCTGAAGGCATTAACATAAAAAGACATTTCAGTATGAGGCGATGTCTACAAAGTTGGCATCCCAGTGCCCAAGAAGAAAACTTCATACATTATAGAAGGACGTACATATTTATTAAATGGTTATCCTCTGTGATATGCACACATTGCAATAAGTACACTTTTCATATTAGATCTTAATATTAGAACATGATAAAGACACCCAAATCCGAGGCACATTACTTCAGCAAATGAAAAAAATAACTCAGAGAGAAAGAAATCAACCGAATTTGGTTAACACAAAACCAATTAATTCCTGGTATCCAAGGATTACAGAGGAAAGAACGTAATGCCAAGAGATGGGGGAGGCAAGTATCCCAGACCTATTCGGAGGGAGAGAAAAGAGCTCCCCATAGTACATCCAGAAACTTCCCCAAAAAAGCAAGTCATTCCCAGGCGTTGCTCCAATCTCCATGAATTGCTGCCTGCAAAGTAACCATGACTCCATCTTCCTGGATTTTGTTAAAGGGACACCAACTTCCACACCAACATTCACACAGAGCAACTGGACTGTCTGGTTGGCAACAGCTTACTGAAACTCAGGCCATGCATGGTGCAGTTAATACGGCCATTTATCCATTTTAGATATGCTGAGTTATCACCAATACCTAATTGCTCCCTCTGGGAAAAACAAACAAACAAAAACAAACAAGCAAGCCACAGAAATCCCTCTCTCGCAAATGCAAAGATCTGTGTCTAGTAAGGCAGCTCTGGAAGCAAGTTAGAAAAACAACAGAATTCCAGATGTTAAAAATATCATTTAATTAAAGCAACATAAATCATACCAAAAAGTTTTAAAGTAACTTTTAGTCAATACATTTGCATTTATTTTAGAATATACTCTACATCTGAGTAAAAAAGTTTTAAATAAACTCCAGTACATGTACAACCATGGGACCCGCCATCTGTTCTGCAACAGAGGGATGCTCGATAGCCCGCTGGGCTCCCTCTCGGCTTAACAGAAGCAATTTTAGGCTGGTTATACCAAAAAGTTTTAAAGTAACTTTTAGTCAATACATTTGCATTTATTTTAGAATATACTCTACATCTGAGTAAAAAAGTTTTAAATAAACTCCAGTACATGTACAACCATGGGACCCGCCATCTGTTCTGCAACAGAGGGATGCTCGATAGCCCGCTGGGCTCCCTCTCGGCTTAACAGAAGCAATTTTAGGCTGGTTTTGTTATGTTCATCGGCTTGTGTTGAGCCTCCTATGTGCCAGCTTCGCCACCACTTCGTACACGTAGGGTCTGGCCGGCCCCCCCCCCGGGGGAGCCACAGCCACCGCTCGCCCCAGACCGTACAACAACAAAAAAAAAACAAAACAGGAAGGAAGGGGGGGAATTATTAATAAACTAGTACTGATTAATTTACATCTTTCTCTTGCTTGTGCGTTGGTAGAAAACCGGCTGCAGTCCTGTGAGCGTGGAGGGGCAGCCTCAGCCCCGGGGCGCAAACCTCCACCGCCGGCCGGGCC